TATTTTGTAGCACTGCTATCTGAACATTAGATTAGTCTTTTTTTTAAACTCATTCAAGAAAAAATCAGAAGGCATGTTTGTGTTCCCCTCAAAGCAATGTGGAGTTTTGCCACTGATTTCAATGGAAGAAGAGTTGAGACAATGCTCAGCACTTTTAAAAATCCCACCTGTAGAATTCTGTATTTACTACAGCAGTGGTCCCCTTATAATTAATGCCCACTAAATTACTAATGTAGTATAAGAGAGGTTTATCCTACAATGCAACTGTTGTTTAGGGGGTTATGGCTTTCTAGTGTTTAGCTGCATGCAAGTCTGTTGTCAGTTCTTCTTCTTAATCTCCTGGAAAGGGAAACTCCAGTGTAACCTAAGATATTCTAATCACTACAACTTATTTCACAGAAGAGTATATCACTGAAGGTTGTGATTAAAATTTCTTGAACACGTTAAGAAAGAATAACTGACAAGCAAGGAGGAATCACCATTTTGATAGGCTGATGCAGAAATGGACTCAGGGACGCAGCCCCCATAGAGAACTACCAGAAATCAGAACTTTCTCAAGTTTTTGAAATTCTCCCCAGTTGAGGAGGTCCTACCAGCAGAAGCTATGTACTGACCACACTCAGTTCAGCCTGCCCACATGCCCTCCTTGAACCGTGCTGCTCTGGCCCCATACAGGGCCCTGGGCAGAAATGTTGGGGGCACTTTGGCCTAGATCCCCAAAGGCATTTAGGTGCCTAATTCCCATTGATTTCAATCCTCATTGAATATGGAAGCTTTAAGATGGAAGGAGACACTGTCAAACAAGATTGATTTATAAGGGAGGGTTTATATTTGAAACCTAATAAAAACAAGTACAATGGGTCGGGGCAGAGGGGAGGAGGAGCAGATGACATCCTGTCCTCTGAAACTGACAAATTGAAAAAGTGGTAAGTAAAAGAAATTAATAAATTAACTTGCTATTCATTTTTTTTGAGCACAGAGAGGAATGTGAGGAAGATGGAAAATGAAAGGAAAAGCCTGTTTGTCTCATTTAGGCTTTTTCATCTTGTTACAGTTGGGAGTTTGAGTCTTCAGATGGGGAGGAATAAAGAACAGCTGTAGTATGATGCCAGATGAAATGCAGAGCCAGAGAAGCATAATGATGTGCAATGGAAACCAAAGAGAAATTCATAAAATGCACAGAGGCTTTATCAATGCACTCATCCTCCCTGGCCCTCCTTTACTCCAGAAATCACCAGCCGTACACTGTGCTTCGATTACTACTATACAGTAGATAAAGAACAGCCAAAAAGCACATTGTTTGGCATGATTTCAGTGAGGAAAACTACAACTGTATAGTAGCTTGTCCCTCACACCTATCAATCACACATGCATATGCTTGCTGTATGAAAGTAATTAAGATGTAAATGACTATTTCACTAATACTTTAGAAAAGTTTAACTGGGAAGAATGGAAATCTCCCCCGCCACCTTTTCTTTGGCAGGACAACATGAAGTTTAAAAGTAAGATACACCTACCCCGATATAACGCGACCCGATAAAACACGAATTCGGATATAACGCGGTAAAGCAGCCTCTGGGGGGGTGGGGCTGCGCGCTCCGGCGGATCAAAGCAAGTTCGAGATAACATGGTTTTACCTATAACGCGGTAAGATTTTTTGGCTCCCGAGGACAGCGTTCTATCGGGGTAGAGATGTACTTCTTTGTGCAACTAACATTCATGTCATTTACTGACCACAAAACAGCAGTCATTAGAAAGACCTGTCACATTATAAATACCACGTCACTGTGAATGGGTGTAGTGTTTTAAGATGTTTTGTTGATACTCCACAGCAGGAGGCTTGTACTGATGACGCAGAGTAGTGCAAAGGAGATCAGGGTCACAATCTGTATATTTAGAAAATTAGAAACTTAAAGGTAAATTCTACTTTTTATTTATTTGGGTTCCTTTCATATCTGCTAAAACAACTGTTGCACTATATTTTTAAATGTTTAATTGAATTTGCATTACAACCAGAATGTTAAATTGTCTTCTACTGCCATAATACTGAAGGAGAGTGATTGTGCAAACACATGTTCTCCTACAGGGATAAATCCTCCAAATGCCATTGGACTGCAGGGGAATTTTCTGGCACAGTGAATATTATAGACCCCACTGTGCCAAATTATTGCAGATTGACAATAATCTGGCACAATGAGGTCTATAATACTTAGTCCTGATGATAATACTTAGTCCTGACTTGAGTGAAGGACTAAAACTAGACTACACTAGACCTCTTGAGGTCCTTTCCTCTCAAAGTCCTATGATTCTATGAAGCAAATATAACAGTTCTGATTACTAAAAGTAATGTCTAATTTTGAAGATACAACCACTTGTGGGTTCAAATACAGAGATTAACTACCAGATTTGCAAGTACAACCAGTAGTTAGATGGCTAAATGCTAATATTTGCACCTGCAATAAATGGCAACTGTAAAATTGGATGCAGAGCTGAGGCCCCTTACAAAATTGGCCCAAAATGTCCTCCTCAGAGCTAGTCTCTGTGTAGCTTAGTTGGCAGTATTCTTGCTTCAGGACCACTTGAATTAGCCTGATACCCAGTACTGACAACTTACTGCAATGATAATGTGGGTTGAGTATTCAGAAGGAGGAATCCTCCAAGATACACCCTGAAATTTATATCCCTTTCCTTATATAAAATACATGGGAAGCTTACCATAATATGGTATTTGTCAGCTAGGGCAAGGTACACTGCCTCTGCAGAATGCGACTTAACATATGTCTACGCAGCAAAGAAAAACCGCAACTGGCCCATGCTAGCCGACACTGGCTCTCGGGTTGGCACCTGGGCTCTGGGACCCTCCCACCTTGCAGGGTCCTAGAGCCTGGGCTCCAGCCCGAGCCCACAAGTCCACACAGCAACAAAACACCCCCACAGCCTGAGCCCCACAAGACTGAGTCAGCTGGCATGGGCCAGCTGTGGGTTTTTCTTTGCTGTGTAGACTTACCATCAGAGCTCAGGATTGAAAGTTGAATCCCACATGGGGCACTCTCCTTCTGTCACCTCTATCTCTGGCAGATGTTAAAGATCCAAAGGCACTTTTATAAAAGGGTAAGAAATAACTCCAACTGTCCTGACCAGCATTCCCTATCTCAGTGAATCAGGTTGTAATATCTATGGCTTTGTCCAACATTGCTATGAGTACTCAAAGTTTGTCTTGCCACATTTGCCTGCAACATCACTGCACTACCAATACCATTATTACAGTGTATATCACTTTCAGTTACCCCACATAAAAAAGTATGGTAAACTAAACTGTGTTCTGTCATGTATGCTGTAAATAACGTAATATATCATTTGAGCTCTAGTCAACTGGAAAGCAAAATATATCAATGAAAATAGTTTGCCTGGCAAGCACTGTTTTTTGTGATGATGGTGTTGTAGCTTTATTTAATTCCTTAGCTGACAATTTAAGTGTAAAAGAACCTGCCAATGTTATTGCACTTCCAAATTTTTGTAGGATTTCCTTCTGGTAACCAAGCATTACACCCACCCACTACTTCTATACTGGAGAATTTATCACCAGATACATTCATGTCAACATAAAGAAAAGCTTAACAATCTTTGAGCAGCTGTCTGATGGCATAAAATGGGCAATACATGCTTTTGTATATTAAGAATTCAATACTTCTTTTTAGAGGAGTAATGTATATATTAAGTAAAGGTTTCTAATAATTTTAATATGAATACCCAAACATCATTATGCTATTTGTTTTCAAAAATGTCCATAATGTGTGCTATGTGACTATATAGGAAAGAGTTTAGTTTTAACAAAATTACTCTAAATGCATCTATTTTCCTGTAAGATAAAAAATAACTATGTGGTTATGTGTTGTGAGATTTTTAAAAGTGTAGTGTTTAGAAACGGAAACAACAGTAGACATCAAAGGAACTTCTATACAGGAACTCTTTCAGTAATACTACAGTGAATTTGCCAATCTAGCAGCCTAATCTGCACTTTGTGCCAGACTCAAATTATTTAATAGCATTCCATTTTAAACATTTGAGGAGAACATTTTACACCTTTCCAACTTTTCTTCCCACCTGGTAAGGCTTAATGAGGTATCAGAGTGATGAATAAATCTTTGTTCAATACAGCCTACATTTTAAATTGCCCTTTTATTTCAATTTTTTGTCCCAATCACTGTTGTCTATGTCTGTGAATTATTTTTATGCAGTCTTTCTGGGGATGATAATTATAGTTCTCTACCTCACACAAAAAATAATTCAATCTTTGTCAGAACTCAGGCCTGGTCCCCACTAAGCCCCCACTTCGGACTAAGGTACGCAAATTCAGCTACG